GTGATTTATCACAATGACACATCTCAATGCAGAGCTCAGCAAGAGCTACTTAATACACACACACACAAAAATGAGAATGAGAGGCAGAACACTGAAGAGAATAAAAACCCTGCATTTCTGATACCTTTGGAAATTACAGTCCTCTTCTCCTGCTTTCCCCACAAAAAAGGCAGCTTTCCCACCAGGCTCCCAGCCCAATCCCCAGCCAATTGCACATTATTCATTCATCTGATTTTTATTTCATTGGAAAGGACTTATTCTGTTATGTTTGGGTTTTATTCAGAGTAAGATAAAAAAAATATCACATACAAATATTAAGAAAAAATTGCCAAATATTCTAAAGGTTTAGGTTTTAATTCAATGGAGGCTACCATTTTTTTTACCCCCAGAAATTAGTTTCTTAAACCAAAACTTACTTTTTCTCTTAGCATTTTCACGTCATCAAAAAGCAATTTTCTTTGGGGAGGGGAAAAAAAAAAAGGATAGAAAACTTCTGAAGAGACATTTTTCCAGAAAACAAATGAATTGCTAAGTCCTTCTGAACTTCCTGGCTAACACTGTATTTGTCACGCTAGCAATAACAGAATTTAGTCCGTCTGTTTAAAAGCACAAGCTTTGCTCTCCCATGGAACAGCCAATTTTCAGGAGGTGTTAGCAGAGGAGGACCAGACACAGCTGAAGAGGTCTGGTAGCGTGCAGGAGGCTGAGGCACACATTCCCACAACTGCACTCCCTCACATGCTGTCTTCTGGTCACACAAGTCCAGTCTTGCTGTTCTGTCTACAGGCAGTGAGTGAGGGTCATGATGTACAAGAATTACTAACTTGTCCTCTTCCCAGCACCTAGCACTTGGAAAGAAAGTACAGTCTTGTCTTAGGACATTGTCCAGGCTCACAAAAGATGATGTTCCTAGTTTGGAGGGCAGCACAGCTAATACAGCATATACTTCCTGATTCTGTGACCTGCTTGGTGCACAGACATGACTGTTAAGAGTGCTAAAATGAACTAGAAGTGTGAGATTAAAACATACTCACTGCTTCTTTTCCCTCCAAGAAGGAACTCATTAAAATATTTTTCAATGCAAGATAAAAACTGGCCAGAAGACAACTCAGATTGAAGTCATCAGGTACTGTCAAGGCTTCTTAAGAGGAAAAAACCACAGATGTAGCACTTATAAGCACAGCATCTTGCCAGCAACAAGATTCGCTAGTATCCAACTGTCTACTAAAGAATGGCTCTATTCACTCACCTGCAGCATAATCCTTACAACAAGGCCAGTTATTCACTCTTGTGCCCTAAGCAAAATCCTACAAAGCAGCCAGTTTTATTTGGCATCGGTTGCTATGGGTATCAGTGCATCTTGCTTTTAAATTAGCTCAGGTGTGGTTTAAACAGTAGGAATAAGGGATGTTGTGGAATTTTAGTAAGCCTGAGGACACAGTTTCCTTCAGGGATCAAATTTACAGATGTTATATTTAACAGCATTTCCTAGAAAAATAATTCCTCAGGAGGCACAGACTCTGTTACTAATTGCATTGGGATAAAAATACAGTAATTTCACTACCTTAAAAGTTCTTCTCCATTTAAATCACCAAAAAGAGAGAGATTTATGCAGCTTGGTTGCAGATTTTCAGTTCTGTCAAACAAAAGATGGGGAAAGAATAAAAATAGCAGCAAAGCTATGCAGTGAACACAGCCTTTGTCTACTTCTCTACAGAGTACTCTAGTACAAACCAATCCAAACAGTGTAAGAGCAGCAGAGTTTGTGGAAATTAAGTAAAACAAAGCACACGGATTAAACAAGGAGATCAGTGAAGTGGCAGAAAAGCTGGTATTTCAATACTGCATAGTAAACACTTTTAATAGAGTGATATACATTTATTCAAATAAATCGTAAGTGATTTAGCAAAATAAAGATCATTGAAAACATTACTGGTAAGCAACTGAAAATGACTGTAGCAATATCTTTTGCTGCCTTGTATACAAAATACCAGAAGAATTGCCCAACAGATGCAAAAATAAACAAACTAACAAATGATTAAACAGCTCCTGGCTGGGCTCTGTCTGCCAAATCTCTGCCTGGAGAGGACTTTTATGCCCATGTAATGAACCCTCAAAATTAGGGACTTACAAAGGAAACAGCTGCTTAACCATAATGGTGATTACCCTGGTCACATCGCAGAGCACCCAACCTTGAGGCTGCGGCTCAGGGCACCCGTCTCCTGCAACACCCAGAGACGCAGAGATGGAACTGAATAGTGTCATTGCACAGAGCTTGTGGCTGACTCATCTGTATTGTTTGTCACAAGGCAGGTTGAGGAACAGGACAGAGCAGTGTGTTCGGCTTGACTGTGCAGCAGGCTCTTCTAGGAAGGACTAAAGACTGGGAGTGCGCTGGATACAGGCCATGTGGCACCACCATAAGGTGCTGTGGGATGTGGGAAGTGACATGATGTGGCCCAGCTCACACATCCTACAGCTTGTGGCAGTTTCTAGCCCACCCTGAAAGTTAGTGGGGTCAAGTTCGTCTCCCACTGCCCACTAAAGCTCACCCCAAAGCCACACAAAAACATCATCGTAGGCTCCAAAAGCAGCCAGGTACTCCCTAATACCTGTAGCATTAAGGCTGAATTTTTTATCCCAACAGTCTGTGGACCTTGAAGCAACCCTGGGTGCAGTGCTGTTCATCTTACTGGCGAGTCTCATTCATCTCCAGAGAAGGTGGTGTAGGACCATCTGCTTCAGTAGCAGTGGTTATGTAAAGAGAGAGTGTTTCTTGTAAGTACAATATATCCTTCTCTAGCAAACACTACAGTTGAAGCAAACCTAGATAAAAACTAGCCGAGTAGCCGAGTATCTTTCTCATGGAATCCTGACTCTTAGTTTTCAATTCTAGCTACTAGAAAACAGAGTGTCCCATAAGCGCTATTTTCCATATTTATCTTGACACCTATATAACTATGAATAGTCACAAATACAACACTCCTTAAATTCTTCAATAGATGGAATAGATGGAGGCTGAGACTTCCTTTGCCACAGATCCTGCCCTAAGTAGTGGAAGCCACTGAACCGAAACAGACAAAGTGCTTCAGCTTGCACAGAAATTATTCTGATACATATATGCCCAAGGTAAAATCATCAATTATTTATTCAGCAGATGACAAAGGGTACCACTTGCTAATATGTGTCCTGTAATTCCACACTGGCACAACTGGTTTGGTTCAGTGATCTGCAGGGTTAACTGCACAGCACCACCTACGAAGTGCATCCACAGCACGTTGGAATGTTCATGCATAAACTGCTCATTCCAGCTAAAAGAGTACTTGGGCTGTGAAAGTTGCTGCAATATTCATATGCACAATAGGGTACTTTCAAAAATGTCACCTGCCAAATACATTTTCTGACAGAAAGTGATTGCTGGTATGATACTAGATCATTTCTGTCTGAATGGAGTTAAGCATGGCTTGTAAGAGACCAGGGCAGCAGTATTTCAAGAAGCAGACAAGAGATTAGAGACAAGTGACAATGCTGATCATGCAGCTGCAATTAACTGTCTTTCCTCCAGTCTCTCCTGCACAGTCCAAGAAGGGCTATGCTTTCCTCCTGCTGCTGAAGGTTGATTAGCAGTCAGGTGGGGAGAGGCTCTGGGGATGGCATGACGCATTAATTAAATCACTTCTACCAGCTAAGTGATGACACTTTGATTTATAGCAGAGCTCATTCAACTAGACACTGGCATTTCCTGGGCACCAAGATGAGGAAAAGCCAAGCTGGGAAGCAGGTGGGAGAAGAGGGGACATGCACATGAAGGAAAACGAAGAAACTGATGTAAATACCTGCAGCTGAGAGAGACTATTTCTGAACCAGCATGCTTGCAGAAGCAGTAGGAATGACCATAAAATGAGAGATGAAAATTATTTAATTCACTTTGCTTATAAAGTATTTAATTTTGGTTGCATCTATAACAAAACCTGCTTTAGGACAGCCTCTTGTAAAAACCTCTCAAATTAAACGTGACATGAATTATTTCATAAGGCATATTTCAACCTGGCACACTCAGTTTGTGACTACAGACGTAAGTCAGTGCCATCTCCAGGCACAACAGCAATCTCAGAAGGAGAAGGTAGAAATCTCCAGAAGGCAGCACAGGGCAGCAATCAAGGGGCCAGTTTTAGATGCTTGCCCCAGCCCACTCCTGCTGCATCTGACAAGAAGCTGTCTCCTAAATACTGTGTTTCAATTTCCCCCTCTGCCACAGGGCAGTAACATTATTTCACCAGCCTCTGTAAAGGGTTACCTTTATCCAACTTGATCTATTTCGGTTAAGATTTTGACATTTGAAAAGGCGAACTTAAACAGTCTTCCTATTAGAAAGCTTCTCTTCTAGTGACAAGTGAACATACTCTTCCTTGGGAACTCTGTGGTTAAAATTACAAACCTGCTCAAAGGAGAAAAATACTTCTACACCCCAGAATCCAAAATAGGTCAAAGCATGATTATCATTACGGCAATATTTCACTCCCACTTCTGAGTCAACCACACTTTGGTAATCCTTCAACTACTTTTTTCTTTGAAAGCTTAAAGCAAGCATTTTAGAACACTTGAGGTCTAAAACACTTCACATGCATAGCAAGCCATACCTTTATATCTTTGAACACACAGGAGGTTTGTTTGCTCACAACATTTTGTGGGGAGAACTTTATTTAAAGAAAAGATCTTTAAAATATATGCAAACTTTTAGCAAGAATCATTTTGGAGCTCTTGAACTACACCAGGTTCAGTCTAGTTTCATAGATGAAGTGGTAACACTTAAGAAAAACATCAAACAATAAGGCTGATTAGAGGATGTGGCAACCTGTGCTGCTACAGCAGACAGTAGCCTCAGTCCTGTCTGAGGCCATGTCATGGTAGCTGCTTGTAAGAAGATTAAATAAAAAGTGAATTCTTATTCTCCAACCTTTCACTAACAAACAAAATAAACCACCTCTAAAGATACCAGCAAAATAACTGCTCCTACTGCAAATCCAAATTCTGATCAGAAGATCTCATGAGCCTCTTTGCTTGGCACATGCATCTTGTACATTTATTTTATCTCATTAACTTCGCTTATCTAAATTGTATTACTTCTTTCAGCTCAAAGCCTTGCTGTGTCTTCTATAAACAATTTCCACCTCTCTCTGTGCTTTATCTCATTTATAGGTGTGATTACTGTTACACTTGATAACATCTTGAACTTTCCTAGCATATCCCCTAGGACCCCCAAGTGCTTTATGACTAATTTATTGTGAGAGTCAGACACAAGAAACCCTTTCCAGAAGCAGCAGCAACGGAGAAATACGGATCATAAAGGAACTCTGTAGCAGACCAGCACATAGATAAGTGTTTAACCAATATCATTTGTCCTTATTAATGTTGTATAATGTGTTTGGATTCTTCTGCATCATCAGCTTTTAATAACAAGAGACTTTATTTAACGCTGAATTTGGTATGTAGCTAGGCGGGGGTGGAGAAAAAAGCCAGCTTGCTTTTAAATAGATCCACATGCATCTCCTTTTCATCATTAGAATAAATTTCCAGAGGGGTGAGCAGAGGTTTAGCTGCATGACTCTCATTAATGTTAACTTTATTTCAGTAATGAGGTGAAAGTACAATCACTGAAGCTAATATAATCAGAGTGATGAGACAAAAGTCTGCTGCCATAAAATACTGCTGAAGAAGATGACATTGACAATACTGATAGGTAAGGAAAAATAGGTGTCAGCAGCAAAATGATGCAGTGAGGGCAAAGACCTTGCCTTTAGCTACAGTAGTAAAACTTCAGACTGACAGGAACTGTTGCACTGATGTGAATGCACTGACACTGGTCAGAGGACTGTCTGGCAAGATACTGAATATGCCAACACTCAGCTTTGCTACTCCCTAGCAAAAAACTGAGGAAGCAGGGGGCTAACAGACCTGTGCCCTTAAAAGTCATTTAGGAAGGATAAGGAAGATTAACGTAGTAGCAAAAAAGAAATGTTGAGGTAAAAGAAAATGGCAGGCGTAGGAAATCCAAAGCAATTGGTGACAGCACCAGAAGACAATCCCAGTAACATATTGCTCCAGAAAGACCTCATATAAATGACAAGTGTGAGAGCCATCGTGCCATTGCACTCCATTACTTTAGCTAATAGAATGATCCTAACAGAACAGGGCTGGGAAGAGTTTGATAGTAATTAGCAAAGCTGCTAGCACCTATTTTTCTTCTGCACAACAAAAGAAAAGCAGACAGCTGCAAAAAAGAAACAGTTGGGAAGGAAAAGTGGGAAGACAGACACTGAATTGGGTTCCTCTGCAGAAATAAAAGTAATAATTACTTTTTTTATTACAAAACCAGTATATGAGGAATTTTAGCTTTGCACTAAAAAATACATACTGTGATACTCTACTAAATATATAGCACATAATCATCCACATGCAAGTACTATTAGTGGAGGAAGAACAGAGGAACCATAACGTGTACATGCACTCCATATAATTCTTGCAACATTCAGTACCTCTGTAAGCAGCTCAGTATAACTTTATCCAGATACCATAAACACAAGGGTTTTTTTAATCATGTGGAACTGATCCATTGCAAGATGTTTGTACTGAATCCATTATTTTAACCTTATAGCTACAAACGAAGTGTATTTATAATGACATGAACAAGATGTGCCCTTTCCATTTGATTTCAGTATCTTACCAATCCTTTGCAGTCTGAAGCAGAACTGCTCCAAAACTGCTGATGCTCAGCAGTGAATCTAGGTGGTAAATCCTCTCACTCACTGGATTAAGACAAAGCATATTTGGTTTTGCCATCCTAGCTTGCTGTACTGTCCTAGTCATTGTTATTGCAGATACCCAACCATAGCAAGAAGAGCCCTGATCAATATGTCTTTGTTGTGTAGACTTGAATTAACTACATCTCACTTTACTTTGACAGCAACACAGATCACACACAGCTGCTGCTTCCACTGTGAGAAACACCAATTCTGGAAAGCATATTCATTATCTGGCTGTTCAAAGCAACAGAGCATGCAAGCCTCACCCTGCCTGGGTTACCTGAGAAATCAACATCTCCGTCTGATTAAGTGACTGCCAGCCAGTCACCTTCTCACTCTAACCTTGATGTGGCAGGACAGTGACAAGCGCATATAGTGTAACATCACAAAATATATCACTGATGCTCACAAATAAATAGCTTAATTTGTTTTAATAGCCTGGTACCTTGCAGCATTTCCTCTGGTTCTGAAGACAGAATACATCAACTCTTTCAACAGAACCCACCTGAAAGCCAGCTGGCGGGAAGCCAGAGAGAATCCTGATGAGGTCCCAAGTTTTCCCTCCTTACCCAGCTTACAGCACTCAATAAATTCCAAAGGAATTCCACTAACCACCACTGCCATTTTTTTAGCTGTATGATTTGGGATCAGAAAAATTGGCTTTACAAAAAGTACAGCTCCTTAACAGATCTTCTGTAGTTGAGTATTGCTTGTACACCAAAAAACAAACCCTGAATTAATACCCATTTTCTATATGGGAGCAACAAAGTCCCTGTAAGGTGAGGCTTGCTTTCACTCATCTTGCAGAAAAGCACAGCGCTGGTGGTCACCAACTCCCACAGTGTTTTCATGGGCTTTATGTTACTGGCTGCTTTTCCAGTTGCAGCCGCTGGATGAAGGTGGCCACACAGAAAACTCAGATTTTACACAAGAAAGAGAAATGAAACCTTTACTGTTGCAGAGGGGAACTCGGACCTTTGAAGCTTCATTATTCTACCTTCAGGTGATAAATAAGCATGGCTCTCACTAATGTATTGTGTGAGTAGACCTGGTTTGTGATTGCTGAACATTTAAGAGCTAGAGAACTCTGAGCATTCAACACCACTGTTCAGGTTCATGTATCACCAGTAAATCATCTGACTTCCAGCTGCAAAGCTATTATAAATAGAAACATGCATGATACAGATAGAACCCAGGTTGAATTTACAAAGTAGCAGGACAGGGCATGTTGAGCACTGAGTCTTCCCAGGTGTCACTAAGCAAAGGAGATCGCTGTTCATATATTTCCTTAGAATTACTTTCCAGTATAGGCCTGCACCTCCATACAGCGAGACCAAGGTTCATGGGTACAACCCATTTAGGCTCATTTTGATATAAAATTTACATTAACTACTCAAAAAATTAATTGATCTTGGTGCTATTTTTGGTACTACAACAAATCTCAGTGTAATGTTTTCACAGTGATAAAACCTACACCTTTCTTCTGTGTAAAATCCTATTCTCCTGCAAGCAAGCCTCCTGTGCTGTTGGCAGCAAGCTAGGATACCACAATTAGGACAAATGTTTTCTTCAGTAAGCTAAGGGTTTTCAGTAACTTTCACACAGGTACAGCAACTCTTAATTGCTGCAAAAGAGCTCACCCAATCTCTAATCTAAAAATTCATGCTAAGAAAACACTAGTTTTCTCTCCTGAAGCTTCTAATGGGTTTGACTTTTAACACACGTGCAACTACAGTAGTACCGAATCTTGCATCAATACCCAAAGCAGTGGTGCACTGAGACACCGGAAAGCTACAGCCAGCACCAAAATGGAGTCGAAGAGAAACTAAGGCAAGCACAGTGAGATGCCCTCCTATCTCAAAAGCGCTACCTCTCCCTACTTAGAAAAGCAACGTTTCAACGAGAAAGGAGAATTTCCATTCCCCTGTTTCAACCTCCAGTAACTACAGGCAAGGCCCAAGGCAAAACAGGGGAAGGGAGAAGGCAAAGCTGACACAAAGCAGCAACATGGCGCAGACACGCGCCGGAGCAGCCATCGCGACGCTGCCTCACCTCGTTTTATCCTGTCAGAGCAGCCATCGGGGAACGCGGCGAGGAACGGGCGCTACAGCAGAAGGCCGCGGTTATGGAGCTCCGTGAAGGGCAGGAGATCGCTCTGAGAGCCATAAGCTTCGGCCGGGGCCCGGCCCGTTACCTCAGCGGCCGCCTCAGCGCAGGGTTCGCCTCAGCGCAGGGTTCCCCTCGGCGCGGCCCGGGCTGTTAATGGAGGACACGGGGTGGCGTGAGGAGAAAAATAAGGTAAACTGCGCCAAGCGGGAAGCGGCGGGGTAACCCTGCGGCAGCACTGTTTACCGGGTGTCGCCTCCCGGGCAGCCCCGACCTCGACTGTGGAACCATCTCTTCGCACCTCCGGAACCTGGCTCTGGGGAGGAGCCTTTATCACCGCGCTGTCAGAGCGCGGCTGCGCTGTGGCGTGAGGAGGGCGCCATGACAGGCACAGCGGGAGGTAGGAAGAACTTTCCTATTTCTCCTCCTCTTATAAGGGTTAGAACGGTTGTTTTGGGTTTTTTTTTTTTTACGTTGTTTTATCATTTTAGTACAACGGTTGTCAATCAGCTTGCCACAGTCCCACGGCTTTTTTTCCCCACATTAGCACTCACGACTGCCCAACAGGTTTAAAACCCAGGCAGCCCTCAAAGGTGTTCATTCTGTGAGTTTGGGCGGCCCGTCCGAAAGTGCAGCAGTAATTCCAGACTCTCCGCAGGTTTTCCTCGAGGAGTGCAATGAGTTGTGCTCTGTCCTTGCACGTTTGCCCGCCTATCGCCAAGTGAAACGCAGCCCTAAGGGCCATCTGCCAGGGAGGAGACCGGCCTCTATCCGCATGCTGTGGTAACCTCTGCTGGCTGAGCCTCGCTGTTGCACCGGTTGAGACGCGTTAGGGCTAAGCTTGTAGGCTGATGCAAATTGATTAGACAAAAACACCTCGGAATAGGTATTTTTCCTTTGCTTACTCCTACTTCTATATGTATTTGCTACTGCAGATGATTGGGATTTTGTACTTTAACGTGTATTTTTAAATCAGTAGCAATTCAGGTAAATTAGGCCCCTGATCCTCCATGTCTGAGCATGTTTACTTCCTCAGCACAACTTTTATTACTAGCAGGTTTGTAACTGTGGTTTGCAGCTAATCTGCATTTTTCAGTTGGAAGATGTGTACATGCATACCCAGTGTCATCTTACACACCTGATGGATGTGGTTTTATGCATAGGATAAGGTAAATAGCTTAGGATGCTACTTTTTTGTGTGTGTTAAAATAAGCATGTCACACCTGGGACTTATACCCCACCTTATCCCACTTCTTCAAATGGGTACATTTCATATCTGTGTAAGAGGTATGATTCATATCAATAGGTACATTAAAGGCTCCACATGAGGGCACAGTCAGATGCTATAGGAACTACAAATGTAAAGTTATCTTTTTGCTCTAAGGAGAGTAAATCTAAACAGATTTTGTGCAGGGTAGAAACAGAATGCAGACAACTGATGTGATTCCCGTTCACCTTGATGCCGATTAGTGTGCCTAACTCTGTAGGTGCATGCAGAGAGACAGAAAACATACAGGATAAATGAGAGCTGGTTTTCATTAACTCAGCAAGAAATCAGGTGCTAGACCTTATTTCAACCATTAACAGCAGAAACAAATTTAATTGTAATCTCCTCTATAGAAAACCTAACACTTGCCTATCATTCCATTTGCAGCTATAGCCTGTGGTCTTCTATCCCCTTAATTGAAATACATATCAGAGCTGCTTCCACAAGGCAAGCTTTTCAGCCAGAATTAATTTCTTCATTTTCTCTACTCTGCAACCTTATGTTATTTTACCATAGGCGAAACAGCAGAGCACAGCAACAAACATGCTTCAGTCTGAATGCATCCTGAGAATGCTTGTTTAAGACAACTAAGCTACTAAACCTTGATTTCTAAGAAAAAATCTGTGGCCATGTAATGGAAAACATCATGCAGGCAACATGCATGTTGCTATATGTCAGATCTTACTTGAGCAGAAATAGTACATAGAACTGTCTGTTTAATTAGACATGGATCAAAAATGAAGAACTAAGTACTTTCCCATCACTCCCTGCAGGTTTTGAAGTTGGCATTTTCCCCCCCTCTGCATATAGTTACTCGTTTGCCTTGGGTTGTAAAGAAACACAGAGGGCTGTTATTAAAGCACCAATAATTTGCTGAACAACATCTTTTGTGGAACTTGCTGAGTTAGAAAATTCCTTTTCACCTCCTCCCCACCTCTGCCTGATTAGAATAACTGAAGAACAAATATCACATTATGGTGCTAGGTAAAAGGATCTAGTGTGTTTGCAGTTTAAGTGACTAGCACAAGACACAACAAATCCTAAAGCCTGTCCAGCTAATTGACAAGGAAAAAAAGCATTTGCTTTTTAAAAGCATATCAGAACAGAGGCTTATGTTTAGGATTTGCTATGCTTAGTGCTTTATATTCAGAAATTGGTTCTTAATATAGTTTGTTAGAAAGTTCTCCAAGCAATTAGAGCCCAAACACATACAGGAGAGTGAAGAATTGCCACTACAATGAGTGAGATTCTAAGACTGCAGAAACAGTGATCCCAACTCATCAACTGTTTAGTTCTGACCTCAAGCCAGAAGTCTGCTTTTAGCTTTTTAGAACTCCAGCCCATCACAGTAAGAATTTTTATCCAGTTCTCCATGTACCATCCCAAAGGAGCAGCACAACAGGTTCTTTCAAGGCCAGTGGCTCAAGTTTAAACTCAGCAAGGACTGCAGCTACTGCTTTGCTGTTCTGCCATAGATTAGTTTCCAAATTGGTCCAGATAAATATGATACCTGTTCATTATCACATGCCAGCTGCTACCATTTTTCATTAGCTCTAATATTTCTGTAAACTACAAGACTCAAGGAGCACAGAACCCATCCTGGACTAGTACAGAACCCTGGCATTGACTTCTGCAGATAAAGTGTTCTCATTAAATCTGCTGCCAAACCAAGCCAACAACTGGAATCTCTTATCTGACAACCACAGAATCACCAGGCCTTTTTGCAAGAGGGATGCACATCACTTAAACCACACAGAAGTCTTACCAGGCAACACAGATTCGACATTTCCCACCATATCTTCACAACATTCATGTTCCTTTCCCTGCTTGATCCACTTCTGCAAAGGGCCAGATCTTTCTGTGCACCATTGAGAGAAGCATGCTCTTTTCTTAGATTGAAACAGATGTCTTCTTTGCCTCTACTTGCTTGTCTTTATTACATATATTCGAGTTAGTGGCCCTCTCTGCTCCACTGCTTTCTTCAAACTTGCAGTTTGGTACAGTTGCCTTTTAGTTCAAGGAAAGACACGAGACCAGGCAGTAGTCTGGAAACACGGATACATTTTTTAATGATTCAACATATAACAGACACTAGTTGAACAGCTCAACAACCAGGGAGGGAAGATGCAGTTTCTGTTCCATTGAATGAGCAATGATCACAATGCACTTCTGATCACATCCTGTTTTTTTAGGCCAGGAATTCCCACTAATGTTGCCTGAATTAGGTTGGTTCTTATGATTTATTACAATTACTGCTGCAAGCAGTGGTATCACCTGCTAAGGAATTAATACCAACTTGGAAAAGAAAGCAAGAACAAGCCATCAGTATCTTGGATCTTATTAGTAGTGGTGCAAAACGTGAAGTGCTGGAATACATCTCAGCAGGAGTAATAGAGTAGACCAACCTGATGGCCTTCCCTGAGGAAAACAGTTAGGAAGTGCTGGAACAGGCGTGAAGAATGTTTAACACTGAAGAGAAGTAACCTCTGCTACCCTCTGAAGACAGCATTTCACACTGCATCTTCACACTGTATCGTGTCTGCTGCAGCAAGTTGCCATAGGGTGGCAGCAAAGGGGAGATAGAGTTTCAGCTGGATAAACTGCTAATGCTAAAGCTTTTAAGCTTTTGGAAAAACAAGATTTTCAGGAGAATCTGCTGATGGAACCATTATCTCACTTGATTACTTCTGGGAAAGAACAAAGAAAACAATGCAAGTAGATTTTATCAGATGGCTGTAACACTACTTGTTTGTATCTTACGTACTTGCAATAGTATTGTACAGATCTTTTTGCACCACTGTGTTTTTTTTGTTTGATTTTTTGGGGGGTTGTGTGTATGTGTTTGGCTTGGGTTGGTTTGGTTTAAGCTTCTGTATATTGTTTTATTTCAGTCAGGGAATGGGAACTACCAGTTTAAACAAACAAACACACAGCCACAAAGTCAAAATCACGGAGGAGATGGATACGGTTAAAACAAAATAAATGAGGCTCTGCATATAGAAAAGAACAGCCCAATTTTGTCTGGCAGTTGGACTTTACAGTGACTTGCAGAGGGAGCACAAATTTAGTCAGCATTTTACAGGTTCTCTACCCATCTTCTCTGTGTTGCCTTAAGGAGACAGTTTCAGTTGCAACCTTTGAGAGCTAGGAGAGATTGTGGGAGAACCACCCCAGTTCTAGGGCCATTCTGATCAGTCTGAAATCCCAGAGTAGCAAACATATCAAACAGCAAATCAAAGCCATCATTGCTGTTTAACTGAACTCATGCAATACAGTTGTCCTCAGAGGAGGGCTTGGTCCATGTTCTGATGTTCCAATTACTCCATGCACAAGGACATCATTAAACTGAAATCCTAGAACTCCACCCTTTTGCCTCCTGCACAACCAGGAGTGAAGTACATTTAAACTACTGAGGCCTGAACAAGTTCAAGCAGACAAATCTTCAGTGCTCCCTGTCAGAAAGTGGATTAGCAGAGAGCTGTTTACAAAAGTAAGACTCCTCTTTGAGGAAACTGTTGCAGAGTAACAAGGAAAATGTTTAAAGACAATAAACATCTCACCCTAGGCAGATCCCTGCTCTTCTCTCGCACTATGGGGCTTTGACAGAATTAACAACTCCATTGGAGTTCTGAATACTTTAAACTCACTAAGAGGAACATAACCACTCTAGTGACAAATCCCAATACAATTCCTTTAGACTAAGGAGGGAAAAAAACAATTTTATCCAGGATCTAAAATATCCTTTCTACCTGACATAATAAAACAGGGACTGAAAGGCATCAACAACTAGCTAGGCAAAGCATCAATACTTTCAGCTAGTAATCCATAGAAAATGAATAAATAATTCATAATTACATATGTAGTGTACACGATGCATGTCAAGGAATGCTCCAGAGAGAGAAGCACAACAAACATGCTTTACTCTCTACAAGTGAAAATCCTCCCATTATTACTGTCACACTGGGAAGCCTCTGGACTGCAGAGATACAACTGAACCTCCATGTCCAGCTGAAAAGCTACATTAGGTATTTTTCTCATGATGTTTTATAGCCTGGATCGACTCTGTGCATCCTAAAATGTACAGAAAGTATTCAAAAATAGCACTAGTACAACACTAGTACCTAAAGCAGGTGCATAACAAACTGAAGAAAACAAGATTCAATCCTGGAGTCCCTTGCTTACACTGTACACCCCTGGATTTATCCCCAGAAAAAACATCAGCCTTTTACACTGAGGCTTCTGTAAAGCAAGAGCTGTTGTCTTGCTCTTTTGGATTCTAGTCTCCAGTTCCTCCCCTTTGTTGCATAGATCATGCAGCTTTCAAACAGGCAGAAGCTCTGGGGGATATTCACCATAGCAGTATTTTGCAATTGGATCTCTGTAGGTGTTCTCATGTTGCACGCTCTGTCGGGAAGAGGAGGAGAAGCTTCATCAGAACATACATAAACAACGCAACCCTTCACTGCGGCCAGGACCCAGAGCATTTATACACATTCTACGCAGTAGAATGTCATCTGGAGTCAAACAAGTCTGCACTCCTAACATGTAAAAGACGGGTTCTTTATTACAGTGCTTTAATGTTGAACCACACCCAGAACTTCCTTTTCAGGAGGCTACCCAAGCACGTGGGAACAGCTTCAGTATTAAAATATACTTAGGCAGTATTGTCAAATGTCCTAAGCAAGCAAGACATAATACAGTTGCTGTTTGAGACGCGTGCATTTTTTTCTTGAAAAAGCTAGAGTTCAGATATTATGGATAAAAATACAACAACTTCAGAGATACTTGGAACTATGTCCTTTGTTTGCAATCCATCCCTATTACTATACTAAATACTCAAGCTGTATGACATCTCCAACAGCACTGAGAGTTTGCTTAGACCAGAGCCTCCAATAAAATCCCACAAGTAACAGAAGTTCATCTGTTCTTAAAAATAAACTAAAATTAAAACATACTGTTTGAGTTCCTATAAAGATGATTGTCAGTGTATGGTAAGTCTAGAACTGTACCGTAAATAGCATCCTTTAGCTACAGGGAACAATACTGACTGTTCTCATCCTTATGAAAGCTTCCCCAGAACTCATCCAAGATCTTCACTAGTCACTGAACTCAGCTAGTGTCTTTTCAGATTAGTACCTCTTTTCTGAAGAGAGTGTGCAACTTATCCTGCTCTAAATATGCTCTTTGCCCTTCATTTACTGCTGGTGTTACTATTTCACCTTATAAATCAAAGGATATTGCCTCACATTAGCTCTCAGCCTCAGTGTTTATGAAAGTGCCTGTGTGCACGCAAGCACAACAGACCAGCCATTCACAGAACTAAGCCCCGTTTTCAAAGGGTATTTTTCCACTTTTGAGCACTGGACATATATTTGTGTCTTACCTGTGATGAAGTCCTGCATTTTGCCAGACACAACTCAAAGTGATCTTCCACTGCCATGAAGAGGTTTTGGAAAGCAATAGCTGCCCGGTTCAAGAAACGTTCCAGAAGATGTTGCTGAAGTGGTCAGCAAAAAAGGCAACAAAACAAAAGACTGTATTTCAACAAGGAGTAACCAAAGCCCATTTTAACCTACACAGCTCGAGTCTCAGAGGAAGAGTAAGCAACTCCACTTACAACTTCTAGCAAGCACTGAAAGGTTAACACATCATAGAACCAACAGTAGGAAGAGAGTCTAGAGGAGCTAACAGAACACAGGGGAATACCAATTGCAAAACTAATACTGGCTGGAATAGCTTTTCTGCAATCAATTCCCTTCAACAAACATAATCCCCCTGGAGCTGAAACATCTTGCAAGGCTCCCAATATTTCTTCTCAATGGTGGGAAGGATGAACTTTTTTTAAAGCTTTATTTATGGCTTGCCATGTGCAAGTTTTCCTCATCCTTCTGAGAAAAGGAACTGTCCACTCTAAGGAAGTAAAGTCCCTCACAAACAAGCACTTTAAGACACAGAGGAACCCGAGCAACTGAGAACACCTGAAAAGCAGGAGAACAACTCTGCACCTTGCTGGGCTGCAGGCAACAGGAAACACAGTACTCATAGACACTGCAGCAGCCGTTGGGAAGGCAGCTCTCACAGCTGTACAGCTTTGTACTGGGCACGTTGACATTACAACAGCCATTTACCAGTAGGTCCTTCCTCTCACAGATGTAGCCTGGAAAACAAAAGTAGTAGTAACAACTGGCAAGACATACCCCTTTGTAAGCTGTATAGAAATTTATAGTAATAGTCACATTACTTGAGAGGAGGTTGGTTTATCATTTAGATTATGATCGCCCTCAATTTGACTCAAGTCCTAACTAGCAATAACACTTAAGACACAGGGATGAGTTTCACAACAACCTGGTTGTGAAATAATAGGCACAACTGCTATGTACCTAATACACTGTATGTACATTTTAAGTATTTAAAAGCAGAACACATAAGCTCAGATTTCTTTTTGGCATGATTCATTGGTGTTATTGGAAAAGGTGATTGGTGATGACTGTACTGGAAAAAAACTGTATGTTCTTTCAAGTGGCCTATGTCTAGGTAACTCATGTTTAGTTCAGTATGAAGAGACTTGGATTTATCCACACAGGATAGCTGTGATAGTCAATTGTTCAGTGGAATCCTTACTAGTTCAGAACCACAGCATATGCTCCTACAGGAACTGTACTACCAGTGTTAGACTGTGAGAGCTCTCTGTGATGTTAGAGACCTCATTGAATTGGCAGTAAGTATAACTGGGGCGGTGCTAAATTTAAATCAGTGCAAATCACACAAGATGGGGTGGGTTTTCTACAGCTTTGATTTCTGGTTGAGAAAGCTCCAGTGCCTGACCAACAAGCTCACTGGGCAGGAAAGAGCTCCATGCACTGAGAACAAGTGGCTAATGTGCTTGGGTTTACAAGGGTCAGATGAGCTCCTTAACTGCGACTGAGCACTAATGATACCACTCCTGAGCTCCCTCCAAGCAAAGCCAGTCAGGTTTCCCCTATTATTCTCCTTAATATAGCTGACTGTGGGAATGCACAGGGAGCTACAAACAGTTCTGCAAGCAACCATGCTAAACTGAGCGGGTCTCAATGTAAGTTCTGTGCAGAGGTAACTGGAGTGCTTTGAAACTGAGATGGGGTCTGGGACCAGCAGAGCATGCTGAGCCCCTTGGACCCACGCCTGCTGTGCACAGTCAAACAGCAACATGAATCCAGTCTGTGGATGGAACACCAGCAGCTGAGATGATGCAGTAAGAATGTCTCAAGAAGGAGCAATTGCTACTTGAAAGGGCCATCAACAATTGGACACGCAAAGCAGCACTGAACACTGCAATAGGCAGAATAAATTCTTAGTATCAAGTATACCCAGTTCATCTGTAATGAGGAGCTTCCCCTGCACAGAATTCCTGCACTGGTTACTCAGCTGACTGCTGTTTCCCGAACTGAACTTCACCTTCCACATGATCGGCTGCTCGTGCTCCTGCACTTGGAGGAGATTCCGATCTCTCACCATCCTCTCTTCCTGCAAGGAAAGACAGTAATGCAGACAGACATCCAAACATGCAATTCCTTCTGCCATTCCAATCAGTGTGCTTTTCCCGCAGTTAGAAATGTCTAGTGGCATTAAACTCTGCAGAATAGGAAACTGGAGTGTCTGTGGCATAAGCAACATACTACTTGCAGCAGGTTACTTTTCACATGACAGAAAGCAGCACAATCCAGTGAAACGGGGATACAAGTTCACCAAAGGCTCAGCTAACACAGCTGGATTCAGTCACTGCCACCACATAAGCAGCACGTGTTCTATTAAACAACCGTAGGTACACATACCCCTCTTTTCCAAGTTCCGCACCTGAGGAACAAGAGTTACTCTGGGATAGGGATGTTTTACCCGCCCGCAGAGGCCCGGTGCCGAACCCCACCGCCGGGAGGGCACTGACCTGCTTGAATGTGCTGGTGAGGAAGTAGATAAGGGATAGCCCGAAGACGACGCCAAGGACCCAACGCTTCCTCAGCAGCCGCCGCCACAGCACCGCTCCCCAGGGCACCATAGCGGCGGGCAGGCCGTGGGCTGGGCCCTCAGCCCCCCGCCGCCGCGCTCGCCCGCCGCAGGGACGGAGGGGAACGGCGGGGGCAGCGCTGATCCAGGACCGGCATCACCGGCTCCGGCGGAGAGCCGTGCCGAGCTGAGCCACTGCCCGGCCTGCCTCCCTCCCTCCCGGGAAGCGAGGCCCGGCCGCTTCCGGCAGCCGCGGGGCGGGGTAGGCGGAAGCCGCGGATGTGCGTGCGCTGAGGGGGTGAGGCCGCGCCGGGTGAGGGCGGTGCTGGCACCGCGGCCCGCACGGGTAGGTACCGGGCTGCGGCCTCCTGGGATGGGGGTGCTGGTCTCTAGGCCCGGCCGTGCCCGGCCTCGGTGGGCATTTAGCTACAGACTGCAGCGGGAATCTCCTTATCCCACCGAACTGGAAAGAAAAGGCCTTGCCTGTGCCTCTCTCTGTGTGTGCATATATATATGTGTGTATGTTACTGCATTTGTAAATTTGTATTGTATGTCTGCGTATAATTGCAGTGTTCTCCGTCAGGGATTGCAGTGATGAGGGGTAATAGGTATAACCTTAAACGGGAGCTTCAAGTTAGATATAAGGAAAAAGTTCTTTACAGTGAGGGTGGCAAGGTACAGGGTGCCCAGAGAACCCATTCCTTGCAGTGTTCAAGGCCGGGTTGGACACAGGGGCTTGGAGCAAGCTGCTCTAGGGGAAGGTGTCCCTCCCGTGGCAAGGGTTGGAACTGAATGATCTTAAGGTCCTTTCCAACCCAAACCATTCTATGATTACACACATGGACAGGAGTGTGTGTGTGTGTTACACACAATAAAGGCAGAGCAAAGCCCAGCAGGAACCCAGGGAGTGTCTGTGCAGTGAGCAGTTCTGCAGGTCCCAATCTCAGAGGGAAATGGCCTTGTTGTATCATGCACACATGCTGGAGTTGAAGCACCGGGGGTTCCCTCTTCTCTCCATCTTTCCCAAGGAGATGGAGAGGTGAAACTCACTCTGCTATGGTGAAAATGACTCTTATGTATGTGCTTCTTACAGATGCACCTGTTTGAGCACTATGGTCAGGTGTCTTACAATCACCCAGCTTGAAGGACCTGTGATGACTTTGAAATTTGGACCATCTTGGATTATCTGAAGGACTCCATGTGTGAGATGTCTGCATCCTCTTGAGCTTCCCTCTCTCCCATTGTGGCACCTTGCAGCTCTGGTTAAACCTGTTCTTCAGGTACTGTTAAAAGATGTCCAAGTGTTGCAAGATGAAAACCCCTAATCTGGGAAAGGCAGGAGCAGTGGGTATAGAAGCTGAGTGCCTTTTGGAGCAAAGTCTGTTTAAATCCTCTTAAATCTGTAGGTTTCTGGGCAGAACAAATACATCTCATGAAGTCCTGAGTCTTCAGTACTTGGCATTCATGTCACTGTCCCCTTAATGGCTGATGCCAAAAGATTTTTCTCCCCCTAGAGAGAGAGACATCATTTGGTAACATGACTTCACCTCACATCACAGTCTGTAGACTTCTAATGGCCTAGAAGAGAGTGGAGGAGTTTCTAACTCTCTTCATGTAGCACAAGAAGATGGACAGATTTCTTTATAAGCAGTGACCCCAAAGTTATTCACAGGTAGGACAGCTCTGCCTGCATGGGTCAGCCTGGCTTGGCCTTTTCATCATGTCTTAATTACCATTTTGGTTAAAAAGGGATAATATTATATATTAAGTTGACAGAGATACTGTCAGGCAAGGAGTAAATAACAATTACTACAGGGAAGCTAGTAGTCAGTCTTGTTACTATAAATGCAGCTTTAAAAAATCTGGAAAAAAGAAAATCTTTATGTTTTTATTGTATAAAACATCCTTAAAAATGAATTGTGGTCCTGAAAACACAACATGAAGCATACAGCTAGAGATTAAAGAACTGGGAGTTAAAGATCAAAATCTGTAGTAAAGAGAGTGTTGGTAATTTAGGGTGTCCTCTCCCTAAAATGTGTTGAAAGCTGCCTTTTTCCTGTCATATATGATGATGCAAAATGTTATTTGTATAGGGCCATGTATTTACATTAGCTGTCAAGGGGATGTGCAAAGTTGGCAGCTCATATTAAAACCTCTGTGTTCTCTGTCAGTGATGACTCAAATCCAGTGTTGTCTCAGTTCCACCCACTTCATTCATGGGGTTCTGCAAGACTGGATGTTACAAACTAAGAGTCTTTCTCTTTTTTTTGTAAATTTGAACATTTTTATCTTCATCTTTTTACAACTGTGATACAGTTATTTCTGTGATTTAACTGAAATACACTTTCTTCTGTCACTGATTCGTAACTTACCTTCAGGGCTGGACAAACTCCATATGCTTTTTATTGCACGTGTACATGGTGAGCACAACTGTCTTTTTATGAGCTCTGAACTGCATGGTTTGGGCTTTATCAAAGCATAAAAATGGAATTTAATGCAGTTTTCCGTGGGCTAGTGGGTCACTTAAAGTAAAGAATATGAACAAAAAGGTGAAAAGAGGGGGGGGGGGAAGTGTGGAGAGAGGGGGCCAGAAATAAATATTCTGTGTTTTCTATGTCTCAGCTTCCATAGCTCTGCTTACAGACAGGTAGGAAAAGTTCTCAGAGCCATTGTGCCTTTTCAGAATACAGATATATGGCTACACATTTATTTACATGTATTCATGCAGTATGAAATAAGTAATGTTGCAACTTTTGATATTCAGAAGTATTTAGAGCCTTTTACATTTTATTCAGTAGCTGTTGTAGTCTAGGGCTGTGTAGGATCAAACTTCAAGGATTTAAAGGATGTCTGTCTCAATCTTCAATGAAATGCCTGTGTGAATCTGGACAAATCACTTGCAAAACCAGCCTATTCCTTAGGTTTTATGTAACTAATATAATATTAAGCAGTCTAAGTACTTGCAGTTACTCTGTGCTGTGCCTTGATGACGATTCTGTGTTCTTTGCTTTTGAATTAACTTTAGTTTTAAAAGGTGGAATGTGTTTGAGGTTGTTCCCTTAAAATTAGACACTTTAAAGCAGAGATTGAGGTAACTAAATGAAGAACTTCTCTCCTTGTTCTAGAAAAAGTTCCTGAAGTTAATACAATTCCAGTGCCTTTTGATTTCCCACTCCAGACCTTACCTTATGCTGACAATTCCAGAATGAATGGAGCAGGAACATGTGACCTTTTGTGTATGTGCATATTACTTATGACCATTGTGCAGAGTTTGCTAATGGCATTTCTGTGGTTAAAAGGAATGGGTTGCTTATTTGAAACAATATTGGCCTGACCTGACTGTATTTTTTCCTTTAAAATGTTTATATGTTTTCTTTTTTCCCTCCCTCTCAGTTTTGCCTTACAAAGCAAGTTTCTTCAGAAGAGGAAGAAGGGATTTCACTTCCGCAGTGAAATTGATTCCATGTCATATCAAGAGCTTCTCTGTTGTCCTCAAGTTCGTTATCAGAACATCTCATCACAAACCTGCACACTCCTTGTGACAACTGCCATAGGCTGCAGAAGGGGATGGGATGTGACTAGTTCCTGCCCTGCTTGGAGACCTCTGTATGTGCTTCCATTTGCCAGTTGAATGCTGTTTCTTTGCAAGTGTGCTGAGAAACAACTGCAAGCTCACAGTGGCCTTTCAGAGAAGCCAGTGATTTATGCCAGCCATGTCACTAGCTGAATGGGTCTCACAACCCTTTGACTCTGTGGGCCTTTGTTAGGAGTCACCCTAGGATCTGTTGACCTCCAACATTAATGTTGAGTGTGCTGTGCTTTAAGGTTTTGAGGAAAATGCAGAGACGGCATAGCAGCAACACTGACAATGTTCCTCCTGAAAGGTACATCTTTTTCCTCCTTTTTCCCTTCATTTTCCTCTCCACAGGGGAATGTTCTGATTTAAATGTATGATGCTGTGGTTTAGAAAATGAAAGCTCAAAATTAAGGAAAGCATATATGTCCTGTGCATGTAGTGTGGCCAGGTTTTCTGCTTGGGTTTAGAGACAGATTTGCTTTTCTCCAACATTTCACTTAATGACTGCTACCACCTGCAGTGTTTCAGATTTCATGGTCCAGTGTGGCACATATGGAGACAGTTGGCTTAGCATAGGCAGGATATTTGGGGGCTCTAGAACAGTGATTCATGGCATGGTCCTGTGGGGATCCTGAGTGCTATCAATCCAAAAAGATCCATCTGTGTAAACATAGGCTATTTATACTGTTATTAAGGTATTTTAAAAGTCTGCTCTTCTGAAACTCCCAACTACTATGACTTAGTATTTTATAACGAATTTGGGTGATCCTTTACATCATCCCAGAATCTGTATTTAGCTTCATGTATATGAATATTTAGAAGTAGAATACAAATACCTCTAATTCACTTCTGTAATTATAGTATCAGCAAGGGAGGCTTGCCACTGTTATTGTTCTGGTACTAAATATTCCCTTGTGCTTTCCTAGGGTTAGAACTTGACTTCTAGTTTGGTTTTGTTTTTTTTTTTCCCTGAGAAGAAACTAATCTAATTGCTCTAAGGCAAAGATGGAACTAATGAATTTCATTGCTCTGGCTGAGCTTACATTTTAAGTGAAAGACAAGTATTTCATACTGGCTTTGCAAGTAGAGGTGAAGCTTGATGTCATGACCACTTCTAGTCCCCATGCTGAATTTCAGGGGAAAAGAAAGCCATCTTCAACTTTTTCAGCATGATACTGCCCAAGCCTCAGTCCAGGCTGTGGGTTTTATGTCAGCAGGCAAAACTGGGGCTTGAGAGGCACATAAGGTTGTATGGGCCCTCTCTGTAACAGAGCTTTCTGAGTCTGTGCAAACTTGTAAAGCACTTCAGGATTGTTTGAATGGTTCAGATATATTCAGGATAGGTGCCTATTGCTGAGTGCAGAGGATAAACAGAGTAACCTCAATTGGTTTTTATAAATGCTTCTGTTTCTTAACAGTGTAAATGCATCTTGTCAGTACCATAGGCTCGAGGTTTCCTAACTGTCAAATGAAAGGGTGTTGCCACTGGTCTTCAATTCTGTTAACTTCAACAAATTCACTATTTCATCCTTGTTCATTTGTTTTTAAATATGCTCCTGATGAATTCTTTCCTGTTGAAGGGGGAGTCATGTATCCTGGAAGTATTGTTCCAAACAACAGTTGTATCTTTATCTGTGACACAGGGTCCCACCCAACTCGTTATGTTCCCAGACATAAGTCCTGTCACATTGTGTCCCTCTCTTGTGTATACATCCCTCAATTGTAATGTTAGGTGTAAAGTCCAAGATCTGGTTGATGAATATTTTAAATCAAGAAGAGGTGTGTGATGTCTTGTTGACTTGATTCCTTGCTGGAGCCTGTGGAGAGACACTGGCAATGGGGTGTCACTATAAAAAGCCTTATTAGGAGTTTACTTAGTGGGAGGTATTCCCAGAGAAGTTTGAAGCGATCTCCAGAGTGAGGTGAAAGGCAGTGCTCTGTGCCCTGTAAGATGCCTGTGGAGGCTTTGGAACCCATGGGGGAGAGAGGGTTAAGGGCCCTGCATGTGCTATCTCACCTTGGGACCACTATTTCTAAAGTTAGAGATCTCCCAGGACTAAAATCAAGAGAGACCGAAGCTCTGCAACATGCCTTATTTGTAGGCTTTGCCTCTTGCTGAGCTTTATTTATCCTTTACTCTCCTTTTGCAAGTTAGAGAGGTGTTTGCTGTCTGCCTAATGATTGTTCTATGGTTACCTGTGATCTAAACTTCATGTGTATTCATTTCAGTACCACTGAGTTCAGGTGAAGAAAGCCTATTTTCTTATGGCATTAGGATGAAGGTATTTAAGCCTTTCTTTTGGAAATCTGGCTACAATCCAGCAAGCTCAGGAAAGAATCAGTGCCAGATCTGATTCTGTCCAGTGCCCAGTAATTTGGGTATATCCATGTGCAGTTTGCCAAAAATATCAAAATAAAACAAGTTCCCTTGACCCAGGAGCACATCCTTCACTTAAAATACTTGTTGGGTCAGGGACACACAAGCAGGTCTCAATGTTTCTCTTCTCCAGCTGACTCTGTGTCTTGTTGGTGTTACTCATCAGTGAGCAAGTAGTGATCATCCCTCAATAAAATCAGAAAATTTGGGGGGCTAGGCCATTTCTTTGAGTTAGCTTGGTTAATGTGACCTGTCTTGGTTGTGCTGTGTCAGTTTACATGGGGCTTTGTTTGTTTTGCTTGAAATACTAAGATCATTATAGATGATGTTGATTTTGGTATCAGATGTGTTATTTCTTTGGTTCCTCAAAAAGTAAAGGGGGTTGTCCGGGAACTCTGCTCCTTAGGGGAACTTAGGGGAAGTTCAGGTTAGATACAAGGAAGAAGTTCTTTACTGTGAGGTTGGTGAGGCCCTGCCACAAGTTGCTCAGAAAAGTGGTAAATACTCCATCCCTGGCAATGTTCACAGACAGGTTGGAGGGAGCCTTGGATGACATGGTCTAGAGTAAGGTGTCCCTGTCTTCAGCAGGGAGTTGGAACTGCATGATCTTAAGGTCCTTTCCAACCCAAACCATTCCATGATTCTATGAAGGAACTTGGCATTGTGATCAGTTCTTTCAAAGTACCCTGATCTTATAGTCTGGTTACTGGCCTCTAATTCTGCAACTCTGACTTTCCAACTGCAAACAGAGGGAAAAGCATCTGTCATCTGGGACCTTCATGTTCTGATAATGTGTGAGGAACTCTTAATAGACTACAGTTAGGACTGGGCTATAAGACTGAGAACTTCTGTGGCACTCATGTTGGTTTAATCACTTTCATGTCCATCCACTACAGAAACCGGAGCCAGACAGTGAGTTCTGAGACCAGCGTGGATGAAAGTGGAGTCTTTGAAAGTCTGAAAGCTGAAGCTTCCTCACCACAACAGTTGTTCTCAGGCCTAGCAGGCATCCCCTCAGGCACCATCACAGCCACCCCGTTCCAGTCAGGTTTGGTCCTGGGCTCTTCAGCAGGAGGTGGGGAAGTATTCATTCAGATGCCAGCCCCAAGGGAGGAAGGGAGCAGTCGAACAGAGGGAGCCCCGTTCCACCACCGGCAGTCATCCCATCATTTCCACCATGGCCATCACCGGGGTTCATCTCTGCTGCACATGGCAGGAGGGGATCGCCACGGGCACGCTGAGGAAGGCAGTGATGAACAAGCTGGAACTCCAGCCCCAGCTCTTTCAGAGTTAAAAGCTGTGATTGGTTGGCTGCAGAAGGGACTTCCCTTCATCTTGATCCTCCTGGCTAAAGTTTGTTTCCAGCACAAGCTTGGTAAGCATCTGTCCTTTCTGGATTGTAAGTGTATTAGAGAGTGGTTAGGGAGCTTTAGCATGCTGTGGTGTCTGAGAGATTTATCTGCATAACAGCGTCTAGAGGTAGTCTAGCACGAAGGGCACATATTTAAATGCATGCATTAATGCAGCTGATAGATTCACCCTACTTTCAGTCCAAGATGTTTTCATCTGTGTCAATCCCATCTGTTTCCTGTCCTGGCCTGTGGGAGACCAGTTCTGTTCCTTTTCCTAATCTCTCCTTGACATTCCTGTAGGGTCTGAGGATGTTACCAAGGCTTCTCCCTCGAACTTTCTCCAGGAGAGGTGGGAAAAGCTTACATTAGTGACTAGCAAAGGCTTCTTTGTGACACAGAAGGGTTCAGAGGGACAAGGCACTTTTCTACCTGGAAGGGTGGAAGTTGTGAAATCAAGCCAAACAGCATCAGCAGTTATGTCTTGCAGTTGAGATCTTCAGAGTTCCCTAAACAATGTGTCTATATAGGTTTCTTTAATAGGAGGTGAGTCTTTCAGCTCCTCAGTGCTCATGACAAATCCATTCTTCTAATCCTCCTCTTACATGAAATTATGTACGTGGCCTGTCTGAGGATCCTTACTCGCTCTTGGAGTAATATGCTGAGATTATCATCACAGGGAAGCCAATAATGCTTTAGTCCACCTTACAGTTCTGCCAGTATTCCCCAAACCAGGTGTTGATTCATGTCTGAGCCATCTTGCTCATTGAATTTGATTTCCTGTGTGAATACTGTGCCTTGTCTTCCACAAGCTGCTGAACTGATACTGTAACACTGTCATCTAGCAGAGTTCTGTTTGCACAACACAGCCACAACTTGCAACACTTCTTCATCACAGAACCTGGCATTTGGGTGGAGTGTCTGTATTGGACCGGGTGGCAGATACTCACTGTGGTAGCTTCATTTTCATTTGGACTGAATTTTAACTTTATGGAGTCCACACTGCCCTGGTTCAATCACTGTTACATTCAGTTCAACCAGAATATCACCCAGTATTTTTTTCCTAAGCTTAAGATGCTGACATCAAATGGCTTAAGGCTGAAGATCCTCCTGCTCAGCCCTGTATATTCTGACAGTGTCTTTCCCTGCAGGAATTGCTGTGTGCATTGGTATGGCCAGCACATTCGCATATGCCAACTCAACACTCCGGGAACAGGTCGCTCTGAAGGTCAGTACAGCCTCTTACTCTCCTATGGTCCCAGGCAACATCACTCTGTACAAAAACAATGTCCCTGTTGAACCTTCTTTTGCAATGTAGGGCTGAAAGCTGTTATATAAATACATATCTGTCAAATTAAGAGTACTGTGCTGTAATCCTCACTTCCTCTTCCTACTTCTCCCCATTGATGCTTTCCCACAGTTTATATCCTGCTCCTTTTGTTTTATTATGCTACACTTTCACAAGAGAGGAAAGGTCAGGGATATCGTAATGTGCTCTTGGCTCTGCCACTGCTGTCAGTGCATCTTCAAGCACTGCCCCGCACCTCAGTTTCCCATTATGTACCACAGAGGTGCTGAAACCTATTCACTAGTTAATGATGAGATTTCATTTATTATCATTTGAGACTGTTTTGAGACTTTCAGCTGAAGGATTTTGTAGCTGTATTGCTTATTAGTATCTTGATAATGCTCTGGTGATAATATGCTTAGATTATAAAGAAACCAGGAGATCTTTTCAGGCCTTATAATCAGTGTCAGCAGAATACTTCAACAGCATTGAAAGCACAAGACTAGAATTGCCTCTGTTGATAAAAATTACATGGGTGGCACAAGTGTATATTTCTGTCTCCCAGCAGGAGTGGAATAAGCGTGATACAGTGCTGAATGAACAGATAAATTGCACAATCATGTAACAGATTGCTGTTGCCTTGCCCTTTGCACCTTTGTCTTTCAGACAGTGTGCCCCTTAATCCACCTGCTTTAAATCTCACCCTAACATCCCTGGCTGTTGAGTAGCTGCAAAGAGCTGTTTTCTTAATAAATCAGCTCCCAAGAAAAATGCTGGGATTTTTCCTCCCAGGAGTAAAATTTCCTCTGGTATTACACCAGGCCAAGACCCAGGACAAGATCTTCTGCCATCCACTGCCGTCTGTAACATTCCATGTCTTTTAAAAATGAAAATTTACACTTCTTTTTACCTTCCATTATTTCATCAATCAAAAATGCATGTTCTAGAACCAGCATGCATCCAGATCACATTCACAGGTGCTGCGTGCAGTCATGGGTTATATTTGATTTAGCTAAGCCTTCTGTGTGTCTTTAGGTCTATTTGTAAAACACCCCTTTGACAAGGTGTCCTTTCAGCTCAGAATTATAGGACAAGATACGGACTTTTTTCTTTTTGTTTTAACCTCTTGTCAAACTGCATTTTGAATATCAGGAGAATTTAGACGTCCCAAGAAAGATCCCAACTTTGAAAACTGAATTCTGCAAGTAAGGCTGTCGTTGTCACTGGTGGATTTGCTTGATTTCTCTGAAGTTACTTTATGTTAAAATGTTAGCTGAGTGAGAGCCATTTCTGGTTGTGTTTCTGTATGTCTTTACCTACAGCCTATTTCTGAGCCCTAATCCTGTGTAAATTAACTAACTACTGAGCACTTAGTGGCATATTTGTATCCCCTGGGTTGGTCTTGCATTTTTCAGCAGTCAAAGACTCAGCACAGTCATTGAGACTTTGAATTTATCCTCTCTGCTTCTTTCTTCTTGTTCAGGAGAAGAGATCAGTGTTGGTTGTCTTGTGGATCCTGGCCTTTCTCACTGGAAACACCTTGTACTTGCTCTACACATTCAGCTCTCAGCAGCTGTACAACAGGTGGGCAACATTTCCATTGTTAGTGATAGAAGGAAGTGATAATTTGCAGGGAGGAAAAGAGGGAAACCCACTTTCCTCCACACTTTGGAAGGAAATGTGCATACTGAAGGTTATCTGCTGTCTTTGTTAATATCATTGTAATACCTTTCGATGGAGGAAAAGAGTGTGTGTGTTACTTTCACCAGTGGACTATGCTCCTACCAATGAATGACATAACCAGCATCTGAATGGATCAGGGTGTGATGATGCACTGCTATGTTACTGCTTGAAACATGTACACTTGCAGTGTCTTACATATCAAAGCAGGGTGGATACTTTTTTATAGTGGGGCTTCTGAATTTTGACCACTGTGACTGAACATAAAGAGAAGGTGTTGGAAGCAGGTAAGAGATTGTCCCACTGATTTTCCACCTCCTCTAATGGTTTCTTTTCAATCCATCAAGCTTTGAGTCTATTACAGGAGATAAACTGGAGATGAGATAATAGTGTTTTACTCCTGTGTCCTCTGGGCCTGGAGGCATTTGGATCCGAGGTAACTATGACAGCCTTCGCTTTCAGATTGTGACTGAAGCAGTTCTCATATACAGGCAAGTTAGTACCCAGGGATTCAGCTCAGCACTATCCCTGCCTGTTATAAAGCAGGGATTAAATGACATATAGGAAGCAAAGATACAGAACTTAAGCAAGGGAGTGCTAGTAGAATAAATAGGAAGGAATGGAGCAATGTCAAACCTAGTTATGTGAGAAAAAGGTTTTTATATTTGTAGCTAAAAAGATAGGAATTATCTTCCCAATGAAAAATTTATTTGTCCCACTGAAGACCACTTAGAACTTCAGACTGAAAATACAATGTGTGTCCCATGCATCAGTTGGATTGTGGCTACATGGCTCTTGGCTATGTTTTTTCTGTCATTTATTTCATTGCTTCCCTGCTTCTTCCCACTGATACTGTCTAGTAAGTGGAAGAGTCAAGGTCTGCCCACAACCCTGGTATCCTTTGGAATTACCCCTAATGTATTTGGATTTGATCATTGGGAAGCTGTGTATGTAAGTGCTTCTAGGAAGCAGGAGAGATGAGGTGTATGTGTGGGTCCAAATGTGAGATGGTAAACCATGGGATGCTGTTCATAGGTCTTGTGGGAGGGAAGAGGGAGAGTTAAGGTTAAAAGCATGAATGGGACTAGTTTGAAATAAAGGCTAGATCATCTAAAATAAAAGGGTTTCAGCAAATTGGGGCCATCCTACACAGTGGTTAGGCCATGGGTTATTAATAGGGAGCAGACTGGGCAACAGCTTCACTGGCAAGCCCTGTTCCTCCCAGTGTTGTGATGGTGCGTCCTGAGTCATACTTGGGCTGGTGTATCCATTGCTTGCTGTGTGGGGACCTGTGACTACTCACAAGGCAGGCTTGAGAAATCAGAAATAGCTGCTTTTGTTTTGTTTCTTTCTGGCTTGTTTTTAATTTTCTGATTTATTTACTTTTTGCTTTTTTTTTTTCCTAGTGCATGAATAGTAGTAAAGTCTCTGATTCTGTTTCTGTTTTTAGGGTGTAATTTTACCTGTTGTGCTGTGCCAGTGTTGTGAGTATTTTAAATTCACGTTCAGGTGTTTCATTCTGGGTTGGTTATTTTCCTTTTACTTTTTGGTTTGTTCTATTTTAAGTTTTTGCTTTCTACAATGAGGCTTTAGTAGGTAAATTCCTGAAGAGGAATCCTGGTGTTTCAGTCTCATTGCTGCTCGGGTCGGTAGCTCCTGCCCATTGCTATCTAAAGTTCTGCTGTCCTGGAATCCCCCCTTTAAAGGGCCCAGTCAGTAACATTATGTCAAGGGAACTACCTTTCTGGATCTTTGTTTCTGGTAAGAGTTACTGCTTAACCCAATCCAGCTTTTCTTCTGCTTCAGACAATGGCAAGCCACCATCAGAACATGACACACCTCAATTCCTGATCTCTTTGCACACTAACAGTGCTTTCTTTGTCACCAGCATGTTGCACATGCACAAGTAGCTTTAGAGACTGCTGCCCCTGCAGTAGTTCTACCTGTGGCAAGCCAGTCTCAGAGGACATAGTGGTCTTGACTTCCCCAAGGAATCACAACTACTGCTGACTTCAAAGGATAAGCTTTTATGGTCAGATCTGATAGAGCAAGCCTGTGAAATAAAGGCATTGCCATTAGACCAGAGCTCACTTACAGTGTGGATTGCAGTCTTCCAAAATAGGTTTCATACACGTTTGGGTCCTGTTTTGTGATAGTGGGCAGACCTGCTGACCTCAGTAGGAATGGGGAAGACCAAGGTCAGGAGGCCCAGAGGAACCATGGGACTAATCTGCATGTCTTATTCCTGTTGCCCTTGGGAGCTGAAGTTCAGTGGAGTACCTAGGCTTTCTCTAGCCTGCAGTGAATAGAGCTGCTCATCAAGAAGCTTAAGTGAGGTTCTCCTTGCTGGTATCTGAACCTTGGTGTCATGCCTTTCAGCCTTATATTTCTGAAACCCAACCTGGAGAAGCTGGACTTCTTCGACCTGATGTGGATTGTGGGCATCGCAGACTTTGTACTCAAGTACCTCACCATTGCACTGAAATGCCTAATTGTTGCCCTGCCAAAGATCATCCTTGCTGTCAAGTCAAAGGTAGGAGTCTCTTCTTGCTATACAGATGTTTGTCTTTGATAATCTGATACCTTTGCAACATGTTTGCAGCATGAAATATGGGTGGAAGAATAAAAATAATAAAACCTCTGATAAAGCTTGGGCAGAAAGTCACCTGGAGAGTGGGCTTTTTGGCTTTTGAGCCATCACAGACCTGAGCAAGGGTTTGGTAATCCCAGCAAGTAATTCAACTCCAGACAGGTAATCATTGCTTGAGAAGGAATAGTTACTAGCAATGAGATAAAGGCTTTTCTGGTTGATGTTGTTCTAGATCTTGTTTTCTGAGTAATCTCTGCAAAGAAGTACTTCTAAAGCACCAATCTCCTCATTTAATGGAAGGAAATTGCAAGTACTTATCTCTCTGGCTTTCTACTTTGGTCAAAGAAGTAACAGCATTAAATGTAAGCTTCTGATGCCACAGAAGACAGCATCAGTTGTAGCCATGGCCAGAGAAATACTTTAACTAAATAGCTAACAAATGTTGATGAAAGCATATATAGATTAGGCCTAACTTTTGAAACTTTCTCACCACGTTCTCTTGAAAGCCCTTTTCATACTGTTTTTTGACATGCACATGAAGTGCCTCTTCCTCCACTTGGTGGTAACTACATTTCAGTGGCAAATGTAGCAATGTGTAGTGTTTGCATTTGGTAAAGAAACTTCCTGGCAGCTGTTGGGATGAAAGGCAGGATGGAGATGCCAGATACCATCATTCATTGCTGAAAGTCTCAGGCAGGGCACTTAAGGGGATGTCTAAACTGGGAATAGTTTTGCTTAGAAATGACATGGGTGGCAGGGGAGTTGAGCAGTTTGTTCCTGCACAGCAGGGCTATGAGATGCTTATTAATTTATTTCTGGCAATTGTCCAGCTCTTTTTCCTTCTTCTATTATTATTATTATATTTTGGGAGATTAATGTGCTAGGTCAGAGCATAATCCAGCCTGGGGAGGGAGGGAAAAGCAATGTGAATAGTCTTCCCAAGATAAATTGCAGTGTTGGAAAAGGTTCACAGCCTTTGCTTGCTTGTCTGAGAGCTATCCCAAGTACTCATTAATCCTTGTCGGGAGAGAAGAAAGAGAAGGGGGCTTTATTTGCAGCTACAGTGGGAGGCTGGTAAGATCACATCTGTCATGGGCCTATAATGACTCAGAGCACAGATGCTTCATTTTTAATACCTTTTTCTGGATAGCAATATTTCTCACTTTTTTTGAGTCTCTTTTTGTCTTAGGGTGTTGTTGATGGTCTTCTTGTCCCTTGATATCTGAGACTGCTGTTACCTACCACTATGGATCTGGATTTATTTTTATCCCTCTCTCTACAAGACATCCATTAAGCCAACCAGGGATGAGATCTGGTGTTACAAATTAAGCAAGATCAAACTGGGATGGGAGTGCTCCAAGAAAACCACAGGATGCCATAGAAATTGTAATTGGTAACCACATAGCTGAGCTCTTTCCCTGAGCTGGGTGACCCAGCTTACCTCTTAAGACCAGCACAGTGCTACACATCTTAGTTTCAGATGAGTTTTAAGCTTTTTCTCAGAACAGTTCTATTGCACTTTAAGCACATTATCTTTGACCAAGTTCTTATCAACTTATTTACTATCTGCTATCTTAATACTTGCCAGATACAAAGTTTTTCTCTTCCTCCCCATATGCTTGTAGTAATGTTCCTCCTTGAAGCCTGTCTTGTAGTTTCTGAACTTCCGGATGTCTGACACATAATCATAGCAGATAGGAAGCTGCTGGAGAAATAAATTACACTCAGAATAGAGCTAGAAGATTTTTCCATGGTAGACATAGAGAATTTTGCTGATGTAACCAGCCAGAACTGCAGTTTCTAGCTGCCCATAACACAGAGACTAAAGTGGAGGTTGCTGCACTGTCAGGGATAGAGTTCAGCACAGCTTAGAGTGGGATAGAGGTATTTTATCTTGAGCTTCCTTGCAGTACTTTGATCATTCTGCAGTCAACCTCTGAGCATGCTCCTTGTTTTGGAAGTTCAAAGGCATTCCAAAGCCAATCTGGCTTTTCATGCTGCTCATTGAGATTCTGGTCTGCTCTGAATAGCATGTGGTTTTCACCGATGCTTTCATAGCCTTTCTAGTACAAGGCATGCCCTCTGAATGTCCTTCTTTTAAGACTCTTACCTCTCCATATCCATTGTGAATGGAGCAAGATCAGATTCTTCCTTTTATGCATCAAAGTCTTCACATCTCCCCTCAGCTTCTCTGTGGACTGGACACCACCAGTTTTGAGTCTTTTCTTGGAGATCATTCATTCTAGATCTTATTATCTTCTGGACTTTCTTCGGTCCCCCCCATTTTCCAGACCATTTCTTCAGCCTATAGGGATGAGTTTGGATTATAATCCTTCTTCCCAGTGTTTACAGCCTTTCCCACTTAAGTGTCAGCTGTACATTTGATAAGCCTCCTTTGTTACATGAAGACACTAATGAAAACAGTGAGTAGTACTCCACTCTTACCTTAGTTAGATGCATCTTTTCATTTTGATAGTAAACACAAGGATTTTGGGCTAAACCACTCAGTTCTCCCAATCAAAAGTACTGGGTCATGTATTCCTATTATAACACCATCACAGGAAGGGCAACATTTGATTTCACGTGGCATCAAGGACCATCTTGGATTTATAGGATAGGACTTACAATCTGAGAGGCAGGAAAAGTCTGTCTTTGCCATCAGAATACAGAGAACAGTAAATGCGATCATGAGTGCTTGAAATGTGAAGCATGAGGACTGCTATATTATCAGGATACAACTAGGCAGAGTTCTCCAAGACCAAATTACTCAGAAATGGAATATCTTTGCAAGCAACCCCTCCGAAGAATGAGGACTGGAAATCTGACTATTTAATTCCAGACTTTCCCAGTTTCCAAACCAGCTCAGAAAAAAGAGGTGCCAAGAGAGGCTGTGAGACTACAGTCAGGCTGGAAGGCAGGAAAAGAACCTGCAAATAGGAGGCAAAAGTAGAAAAAGGAAGGGGGTCCCAACATCAGATTCCAGCCTTACACTTCTGCAATCAGAGGTTGTGGGAGAAGGAGCATAACTGTGCCTAAAGCTGTCCCTTCATCCCCATGAGCTGAGGGGCACATCCAGCTGAGAACAAGTTTTAATAGCAGCTGGGCTCATCATTTCTTTGGAAGGGGGGTTTGGCTCCCACCCTGCATGTTGAAGGCTCTCCATTAAGAAAGGCAAATAAGATCATTTGGTTCAATAGAAAATGAATTAAAGTAAATTAAACTGCAGGAGCCATGTGGCCTGCAGAGGCCTCCATTGTTGTACACACATAAACAGCAGCTTTTCATTTGCACTGCTAAGGAATGACAGCTTGAGGGAGGTGGAATTAAAAATAAGGAAATAAATAATAAAAAGAGACAGTTGCCAAAGATTCCCTTTAGGAAATCCTGGGTGCCTGCAAGTCTCCCATCCCCTTGTCAGCAGTTTAATCCTGGAGAATGGAGTGAAGCGTGAAGGAGGAAAGGGGAGAAGGAATACCAAACCCAAAGAATTGGAAGAAACTGGTACCTCAGGTTCTGTTTTATATCTATATATCTCCCTATTTCTACAGGGGAGAAAGATACCAAGGACACACTTCTTTCCAGCAGCCTTAGTAGCTGATATGTAAGTATTTTCTTTGCATGCTCAGTGCAGATGTGCATCCAAGTTACGAGGAGCTGCATTTCCAGAAGATGGAAAATTCAAAAGGAAAACACTAACATTTGCTGGTTGAAAACACAGCATGAAATTACTGTAGGGAACCCAGATCCCAAATAGCAGACCCAGACTCCTCCAAGGAAGGTACCCAAAATGGTTTTTTCCTGTAACAGAAGCTCTCTGCTGTGGGATTCTGGAGTCTTCTGACTTTGTGGTTTAGGGACCTGAAATCCAGCGAAGCAGCCCCAGACTCCTCCAAGGAAACTACCTGACATGATTTTTTCCTTTGGAGAAACATCTTTCCTCTGAGATCTGGCAGAGACTCCTCCCAAGCATATCCTGCAGTATTTTGACTTGTCAGTTGTGTTTGAAAGCTGGATCATTACAAATGAGGTTTCTTTTGTGGCAAGACTGGCATTACTCATGTGAAGATTTTTTGGTGCTGTATAAATAGTGGCAATGTACAAATACTCATCCACACTAGCACTGTGGACTCCTCACTGCCTCTTTGAAAAGACTTACTTTTGGTTGATTGGGGTTTTTTGATGCTTTTTTCTTTAAAGTACCACCTCATCAAATCTGGTTAGAGAAAACTTCTTTATATGAAGGCACCCATTCTTTATATGGCTTTGCACTTGGACTTTGGGCCAGATACCTTTTCTAGGTGCATTCCATGTTTCCTAGCATAGATAGCTTTGCCAGAGGGGAGACTGAGCTGAGCTCTTAGGCAGAAGCTCTTCCCTGTGAGGGTGCTGAGGCGCTGGCACAGGGTGCCCAGAGAAGCTGTGGCTACCCCATCCCTGGCAGTGTTCAAGGCCAGGTTGGACACAGGGGCTTGGAGCAAGCTGCTCCAGTGGAAGGGGTCCCTGCCTGTGGCAGAGGGTTGAGACTGGATGAACTTTAAGGTCCCTTCCAACCCAGACCTTTCTATGATTCTGTATGATTGTTCTCCATCACAAGAAGAGCAGGTTGGAGCACTTTGCTCCTGCCAAAGCATTTTCTCTAGGCCACAGCCTGTTCCAGGCAGCTCACATGAGGAATGAAGGTGCCAGAGGGAAGTTACATTAATTGTGATGATGGCAGCAGCCTTCTAATGTCCCTGCAGCCTCTTTCATCATGCAGCCAGATAGTTATCACTCATTTTACATGAAGTTTGCATACTTCTGTTCCATCCTGAGAAAAACAAGGTCTCTTGGAGCATTGGAGTCTTGTAGGTGCTGGTCAAAAAACCCAGAAATATTAAAACAAGCGATGTGAGCAGGCACATAGATGTATTACAGAATATCTGAGTAAAGATCTTCCTGCTCTG